TTATATAGACCCATTTAATTATTTTTAAACTAAAACTTGAAAGTAACTGTTTATAATCAGGCAGTTCTGAATTGTGTTCTCAAATATGAAAAAACTTTATATAATCTTTCCAATCTTTATAATCAGTATTGTATCAATATTTTATTGTTACAAAATACCATGTAATGTCATTACGACCTTTTCAAGTAATCCTACATAATAAAAGAGTAATTGCAAATAACATCACTTTGTCACACCCACAAGCCAATCAGAGTGAGTATGCAAATTAACTCAACAAAGAAAGCAGGAAGGAGGCTTAGGTTTCCCAGGCGATAGAGGAATCCAAACTTTCCATACACCCTGACCAGCCCAGGCCTCCACTTAAGGCTACAAAGTTTCAATTATAGAAGGTAAATCCTTTGCCACCAAAGAGCCAGCAGAAGGCTCCATTCCAGGCTATAAAGTTTTAATTGTAGGAGATAAATTCCAGATACCGGGACTTCCACTTGGGTCACCAGGGACATGGCCAGCCTTCAAACCACCACAGACCCTTCACCCAGGTTGCCCTACACATCAAGGGAATCCTGATCCAGGACACCATCAGGACAACCCAGCCAGCCTCTTCCTGTGCACCAGGCCTCTATCCTGTCTAATAAAAGAGTAATATGCAAATTGACCATTACTCCAATACACAAGATGGCTGCCGCAAGTGGTCTAATATCCTGCACCCATGTGAACACAATATGGCCAGCAGGGAAGGGCAGTTGGGGGTGACCAGGCCTGCAGGGGAGGGCATTTAGAGGCAAGCAGGCCTGTACGGGAGCAGTTAGACATCAATCTGGCTGGCAGTGGAGTAGTTAGGAGGGGATCAGGCTGACAGGCAGAAGCGGTTAGGGGCAATCAAGAAGGCCGGCAGGTGAGTAGTTGGGAGCCAGCAGTCTTGGATTGTGAGAGGCATGTCTGACTTCCCTTGATGGGTCCCAGATTGGAGGGTGCAGGCTGAGAGATGACACCCACCATCCCCCGTGCACAAATTTAGTGCACCAGGCCTCTAGTATCCTATATAATAAAAGCCTAATATGCTAAGTGTTTGGTCATCCAGTCATCTGTTCATCCAATCAAAGTGTAATATGCTAATGATGCTCAACCGCTCACTATCTCACCATGACATGCACTGACCACCAAGGGGCAGACAGTATACCAGTCGCCTTGACATATAATGAACATCAGGGGGCAGATACTCTGACCAGTAGGTTAGCTTGCTGCTAGGGTCCAGCTGATCAGGACAGAGCGAGAGGAGCCAGACACACCATGGAGCCCTCCCCCACTCTCTCCCTGGTTGGCCAACCTCCCATGTCCCTCCCAGGCCCCGGTAATGCACCTGTGGGGTCCCTCGGCCTGGCCTGAGCCCTCTCGAAATCCAGGATGAGGGACCCCATCCCCACTCACAAGTATACAAATTTTGTGCATTGGGCCTCTCATGTAAACAATAAAACCATGTTGTTTAGAAGACAACTTTCCTAACAAGAAAATACTCTTTTAATCACAAAATTAGTCTTAATTTCCCAAGTAATAAAATATTGACTTGAAACATGCAGGTCAAGCATCCATTGGGAAACAAAATAGATGGAACATAGGTAAGACAGTCTAATCACTAGAACCAACCATACAGAATCTATGTATCTGGACAGAAGAGGAGGCATGGGAAACCAAAGAAGGGCCTGCAACAATAAGGGTACTGACACATAGAAACAGATAAAGTTCAGCGTAAGAACACAGAAAGAACATATAGAAACAGGGATAATTTAGGTACAAGAATTGTGCAAGAACAATTGAAGTAATCAAGCAGGTGAGGACACAGATAGATATAAAAGCAAACTTTTAGCAAATTTATACTTCTGGACTAAAAGGCTTCAATGGGAAGCCCATGTTTGAGCCACCTCTCCCATGAAGGTTGTCTGAATCAGCCTGTAATAAATTTCCACACTTTTGCTTAAATCTTCTAATCCACAGAGCTCCTTCTTGGGCATCAAAGACATGACCTGAGGAAAAAAACCTTGGTGCACTTCCGATTACCAATATGACATTATTTCTATGATTACTTGAACTCAACCTTCTTAACTGAAAAGGAGTATATGTTTAAATAACAACAAACAGACATATATATAAAATGCAAAATTATCTTTAAAATCTCCAAGTGTAACAATATAAAAAATCACTTTAAGAAAGGGAAAGGGAAGGGTGGATGAATAATAAAAACACAACACTTCAAGAAACTAAGTTTTTTCCATGTAAGAATTCATATTTAGAAAAATCTATGTTTTAATATATTTTAAACTTCCATTACCCAAAAAGTTTTAACCACCTTCTATTCTCTAAAGTTATCCCCAGGGCAGTTGGCTGGAGTGTTAATCTGGTTCAACAAAACATTTGTGGCTCAATTACTAGTCAGGGCACACATCTAGGTTTTTGTGGTAAACATGTAGAAGATAACTGTTGCATATTTCTCACATCAACATATTGGCTTTTTTCCCCCTCTTCTCTCTCATCATGAAAAATATATCTTAAGATGATGATTTTAAAAAATTGAAAGAAAAAGTTTCAGTAACAAATTATTTAGATCAAACTAAAAATTGATAAAGAGCCCTAGATGGTATTCTCAGTGGTGACAGAATTGGCCCCAGCTCCAAAAGTCTCAAGTTCAAATTTCCAGTCAAACACATGTACTAATACCTGGATTGCAGGTACTGGAAGAAACTAATGTGTTTCTCTGATAGTAATCTTTCTCTCTCCCAGCCCAACCTCATCTTCTTCCCCCTCTCCCACTCTCTATAAAGTCAATGAAAAAAATGTTCTCAGGTGGGAATTAAAAATAACAATTGATAAAGATACTTCTAAGTAAACAATAATGGGCATTTTAGCAATAGTTTCTTAAGACAGATTTCTCAGATCTCTAGCATTACATTAAAAAATGTTAATAAAAATGATACTCTAACCGAAACCGGTTTGGCTCAGAGGTAGAGCGTAGGTTTGCAGACTGAAAGGTCCCAGGTTCTATTCCGGTCAAGGACATACACATTGGTTGCAGGCACATCCCCGGTAGGGGGTGTGCAAGAGGCAGCTGGTCAATGTTTCTCTCTCATCGACGTTCCTAGCTCTCTATTTCTCTCCCTTCCTCTCTGTAAAATATCAATAAAAAAAAAATATTTTAAAAAAATGATAACTTTATTTCTTTTATTTTAACCAATCTTATTTATTGATTATAGAGTGAGGGAAAGGGAGAGCAGAAGCTAGTCAAGTCACTATGTTAAAGTACTGTCTCAATAGCCAAGATTTTGGTTCAATTCTGGGTCAGGACATATACAAAAAGCAATCAATGAATGCATAAATGAATGAATAAAAAAGTTAATTTTTCTCTCCTTCACTTTCTCTAAGTCAATTAAATACAAGTTTAAAATATACATCCATTTTAAAAAAGAAACAAATACTGGTTGAAAGAATTCATAAGATACAAAGTAATGTATTTTGTTAAACTACTATGATTATTTTGTGTGAATTGGAAATAAAAATTAACTTGATTAATTTCATTTAGCTTTGAAACTTTTACGAATTCTTACCTGCTAGGTCAGTACTCATTAACTAAAACTCTGAAGTGCAATATACTTTTTTGGAGAGTGTGCTAGAAATTTCTCAAATCTCTGCCTCCTATATATTACCTTTCCACCCACCCATCTTTATTGAATTAAAGTTGACATAAAATAAAATTGCACATGTTTAACATGCATAGCTCAAAGTTTTGGCATATGTGCACATCCATAAACTCATCACCAAATCAAGAAAATACATATTCAACACCTTCAAAAGTATTTTCCAGTCCCCTTTTACCCTTTTACACTTTCTTTCTCTCTCTCTCTCTCTCTCTCTATATATATATGTATATATATGAAGTATGTATGTATGTGTGTGTGTGTGTGTATTTCTTTATTGAATTCAGAGAGGAAGAGAGGGAGATAGAAATCCATGATGAGAAAGAATCATGGATCTGCTGCCCCTGCACGCTCCACAATAGAGATCGAACCCACAACTCAGGCATATGCCCTTGACCAGAATCTAACTGGGATCCTTCAGTTCTGGGGCCAACACTATCCACTGAGCCAAACCATCCAGAGAAATGAGCACATTTTAGATTTATGAATGCTGGTGAGAAGCTTAGAAAGATACAAAATACTACTTACTTATCATATAAATAATAGGTCAATATTTATGAAGCATAAACAAAGTACTCAGGCAGAAGGTAAGGTCTACTCATATTTATTATGTCCCTGTTTATATCTTCCCTTGTCTCTTCATTTCTCCTCACACTATTTCCCGCCATCTTGGCCACAGCCGATGGGAGCAGCCATTAATTAAATGGTACAGCCAGAACTTTTCACACTCATAAACAGAAAATCCAGCCCTGGTATCCATCAGACACAAGAAACAAGGCACAAGATGGGGAGGGAGGGGGAGAGGAATAATAATAAAAGTATACTCAAAGCAATGTATGTGTGGCAGGTAGCCCAAAACAAGTAAACAAATCACATAAATTTAATTCAGACACGAACAGATTAAGATACTAGTTAAAAACCGAGCTGTTTACTTGTAAAGTACCTGTAGCTTAATTCACCCAAGAAATGAGACACTGAAACTCATTAAAATGTGTAGTTAAAATTAATCATCGCAGGCGAGAGAGAAAAAAAAAAATCACGTGGGGAGAGAGATAATAGAAGTGAAAATATTGAAAGCAGCTTTCTGTATTTCAGTTATCTCCTAAGCAAAGTACACTAAAATAACTGTTGAGCCCCAAAGCGTCGCTGTATCTGCCCCTTAAGGTATAAGACAAATTCAATCTAGATTATCCAGCGGGAAATAAGAGCAAAAATATTGTTTTCCCTTTGCAGTCACAATGAGTGACAACCAGCCTTGGGAGCCGCGGGAGCCGAGGCAGGGGCAGACACACAAGGCCCATGCGGTTGCCTTACCTTGCCCAATAGGGTCGTCGTCCTGGCGCCATCTTCGTGAAGCCTCACGAACCCAAAGAGCCGGCTATGAAAAGAGATACATGAAGTTCGTTATGGTTATATAAAAGCCACTGTCTAGTCCTTTTTGAGCCCAGATTCCAGTATTTGACGCCTAGAAAGCTCAGAGATCACCCTCCTGTTGCCACCCGATTCAAATCGCACTGGAGCTAACCCGGAAAGTGAAGCCAGCCCGTCTAGAGCAGATTAAGAAAGTGATGGTGGTCGGTACCTGTCCAATCCGTTAAGCATCTCCTCCTCTTCGGCTGTCAAGCTTAAGGACTCCTCCTTGCTCTCGCCGCTCGCTTTTCCCGCCGCCATTTTCTTTCCCTCATCACAGAAAGAGGTGGCAGTAACAAGCGTCACTTCGCAGGATTTCATGGAAAAGCAACAAATTTAAAACTGTCTTAAACTCGCCAACCCTCAGTCTAGCTCTCAAAAAACGCCCCTACTGCGTGAGACTAACACTACTACTGCCACCGGAGGATCTAACTCCACCGGCGGATCGTAGCAAAAAGAACCCCAAGGTGATGGCGAAAGCAGAGGATGCAAAACTACGAACCTTGGCTACTGGATCACGTCTCACAATAGGCGGGGACTCCAGAAAAGGCGGAAGTTAGCGGTGCAGTGAGGATTTCGTAGAATCACAAACTTCACAACCTCTAGCAAAGTTGTGATTGTGTCAAGGAGCGACCGAAGTTCCCGTGGTGCCTCCCGTCCCGAGCAGCCAGGCGCTGCCAATTGACGCGACTGGTTTGTCCCACGTGACCTTTGTTGACTTACGTCAGCTGTAGTACAACCAAACTTGCTAGCTACCGGAGTCCTGCCCACTCAACTCGGGACAGAGAACTGGCAACTGTGAGTGGTAATTGGTTGCTGGACACGTCTGTTATTAAATGGTAGTCACGAAACGAGCTGTTGGTTTTGTTTTGGTTTCGTTTCTTTGTTTTTTTGCTACTTACCTTCGCCCCAGAAGGAATCCAGATCCCAGAAGGTATCCAGAAGACACGAAAGATGTACGAAGAAAGGAGCGGGGCAGAAGGAGGACATCAGGAAGATACTGGAGAGGATTCGAGTTCGGACCTCTTCTACTTGCTCTGCACTACTACTAGCAGAGCCTCCGGACCTGCTCTGGTTCCCGTTCCCAATAAACAATGCATAGTACTTAACCTACCCTGTCAAAAGATTTGATACTTTTAGCACCTCCGAAAGTAATGGGCCCATTGCTGACTCTCCCTTTTCCCTCTGCCCCATCCTCAATAACTGAAACAGAAGACGAAAGTTCTTGAAACTTCTGTTCATGTCCTTTCAGTCTGAGTTACTTACTACAACTCGCTTAACTCCCCCCCCCCTTTTTTTTTCTAGCCTTTGTTCCAAATTTTATACCTAGGCTTCTTCAGCTTAATTACTTACAAAGAATTACTTGTGTAAAAGCAAAATCATGCTATATCTTTGTAGTCAGTAGTTGAGAGTCAATCTATAAACCAGAGGTCATGGTTCAGTTCTAGTGGGTAAACATGCCAGAGTTGCAGGTCAATCCCCAAGTAGTGGGACAAGTAGGAGGCAGCCTATCAATGATTTCCTTCCCATTGATGTTTCTCTCTCTCCTTTCCTTCCTCTCTGAAATCAATAAAAATATTACATATCTGCCCTGACGGGTGTGCCTCAGTGAATAGAGAACCAGCCTGCAGACTGAAGGGTCCGAGGTTCCATTTCTATCAAGGGCATGTATCTTGATTGCAGGCACATCCCCATTGGGGAGTGTGTAGGAAGCATCTGATGGATGTTTCTCATCGATGTTTCTAACTATACCTCTCTCTCTCTGTATAAAAATAATAAATTAATTTTTTAAAAAAATATTAGAGATCTATTCCATGTATACATAAACTCATAGATCTCAAGTGCCCCAAATAACTTACTATAGTGGGCTATAGAGTGTAAAGTGATTCTGAGACCAGAGTGTGAGAAGTGCTAACTTATGAAATTAGATAATATGTTGAAAGAATAGTAATTGATCAGGTATTATGGACCAGGCACTGAGAACAAAGTGGTGCAAAAGACTTATTTTATTTTTTAAAATTATGTATTGCTCTGAGTCCTCAGGCAAGTGATGACACTGTTCTGGGCCTCAGTTCCCCTTAATAGATGGTGTATAATCCAGGTTACAAACATATAATCTTAGCAGGGTGGCCTGGAGTCAAATCTGAAAATTATATGTATAGCCCATGGGCATAGACAATAGTGTAATGAAGGCTGGGAATGGGTGGAGGAGGGCAATAGAAAAAAAAAGGGGGGGGGTAGACATTTGTAATACTCTAAATAATAAAGTTTTAAAATAGCCCCACCAAGGTTTCTCAGTGGTTAAGCATAGACCTATGAAACTGGACCTAGTCAATGGTTCAGTTATTGATCAGGATACATGCCCAGTTTGTAGGTTCAATATGCAGTGTGGGTCATCCAAGAGGCAGCCAACCCATGATTCTTTCTCATCTTTGAGTTCCTATCTCTCTTTCCTTCTATTATAAAAAGACTGGAGACTGGGAAATAGAGACTATTTAAATAGTCTAATAGTTTTTGTATTGCTGAAACTCCCTAATTTGCCATTTTTGACTGATGAGTGCTAAAATTTATTCAATACAAATAGAATCAGTATAACAACTGCATAAGTGAGACATTAGTTCTCTTCAAGCTACATCCAGTTAGGGTTTTTGTTTTTTTTTTTTCTTTTATGTATCCATTTATTTTTGAGGCTTATTTGGAATACCAAAAATACAAATCTTTATTTAAAGGCCATTCTATGATAGTTGGCTTCTTAGTCACCGCTTTCATAGCAAATATCTAGCTAGCTAAATATATTGTTTTTAAAATAACCCTAAATTTTTATCAGTATTGTTTTGAGACTTTCTTCTTCCAATGTTAAAAATAAAGCCGGCATGAGACAGTTAAAATATATTTTTTCTTATTCCTTCCCTCATTGCCCCATGTCAGTTTTTAAGCAATGGAAAATTAATAAATTATTTCCTCATTTTATTTAATCCCTTCAAACATTCTTGGTGCCAGAGCCAATTGATAGAGGCTGGATGCATAAAGAACCCATGGATGAGGAAGAAACTTACAGCTTGACCATGAAATAGTTTTTACATTATTTAATAACTCAAACCTGACATCAACTTATTCTGTTAAGTTGTGGCTTAAGGGAAGGGTCTAAAAATCAACCTACTTAGATAGTTTCTATTCTTAATCCCCTTAGTCTTTATGACATTAGGGTCATTCTTCACTAAACTTAAAAAATATTATGATAAAGATCATGTTAACTGGCTAGTTTGGCTGTTCATTGAAGCATCATCCTCTACACCAGTGGTCGGCAAACTGCAGCTCAAGAGTCACATGTAGCTCTTTGGCCCCTTGAGTGTGGCTCTTCTGCAAAATGCCACAACCATTTTTGAAGAAGTGGCATTAGAAGAAGTTAAGTTTTAAAAATGTGGCTCTCAAAAGAAATTTCCATCATTGTATTGTTGATATTTGGCTATGTTGACTAATGGGTTTGCTGATCACTGCCTACAACAAAAAGGTAGTAGATTTGATTTCCATTGAAGATAATAGCCCAAGTTGCAGTTTTGATCTCTGATTGGAGCTTGTACAGGTGGCAACCAAATGATTAAATATTTCTTTTCAAAAATCATATAAGGAAAAAATGTTAAATCCCACTAAAAAAAATAAACAATAAGACATATACCCTAGCCTATATGGCAGTCCCATGTGAATTATGTACATGTTTGATTTGTCCCTTTAAAAGAATTAGAATCCTTAGGAATTTCAAGTCCACATTAAAAAAAAAAAATAGGTATCTTTTCTTTGTTTTAATCCTCACTCAAGAATATTTTTTTAGTTGGAAGTAGAAGGGAGGATGGGAGGAAGGGATTTGGGGAGAGAGAAAGAGGGTCATTTATGTAAGACACAGATGGTTGCCTCTGGCACACACCTGACCAGGACAAGATCAAACCTGCAACATAGGAACATACTTTTGACACCAGGAATTGAACCATTGATTCCTCCAATCATGGCCCAAAACTCTAACTACTGAGCAACACAACACCAGTCAAGGCAGAAATAGGTATTTATTTATATATTATCAAAATTAACTTTATAAATTTGACTTCTGATCCTTTTTCATTATTTGCCCAAATAATGTTCGTTTGGCTTGTTTGAAACCGTGTGTGTGTGTGTGTGTGTGTGTGTGTGTTTCTTTTTGAAGGGTATTTTGTTTATTACATCTGAAAAGAATGCATATACAAAGAATTGAGACATGAGAAAGCATTGGTTCAACACTAATGAAACTACAAGAATTAGGATGTGGGGAAGGTGGAGAATATTACCTAAACATTTTTTTTAATGTTGGGAACTGCAACCAAAATAAACTGATAAAATCCCTATTAACACTTATGAAGATCTTCATAAGACCCTCTCCATGGTTTTTATTAAACTAGAGAGCCAGGATTCCTCATGCAAAACAGAAATAAGGGGATTCCCCTGACTGGTCCCCATGTTGTTTCTCCCCACTCCCACCCCACCCCTAGCTTCTTAATGAAGCAGGTCTCCATCCTCATAACTTGAAGAGGATGTGAATCATTCCACAGACATCTGTCTTCTAGCATCCCTCATGTATACCAGGTCTTCAGCTGTGTTCTAGGAACCGTTTCATACACTATTAAGCTGCACATCTATGCTAAGCATGTAAGACAATGACTGACAAGGAAAAAATGTTTTTTAAAATTACGTACTTAATCCATTTGGTATATTTCAAAAGTTGCCATACTTTTCTTCATTCATCAGTGAAAAAAGTTAGACATTAACTTAAAAAAAAATCAGCAAACGACCGAAACCGGTTTGGCTCAGTGGTAGAGCATCGGTCTGCGGATTGAACGGTCCTGGGTTCGATTCCAGTCAAGAGCATGTACGTTGGTTACGGGCACATCCCTGGTGGAGGATGTGCAGGAGGTGGCTGGTCGATGTTTCTCTCTCATCGATGTTTCTGGCTTTCTATCTCTCTCCCTTCCTCTATGTAAAAAATCAATAAAATATATTTATTTTAAAAAATCAGCAAACGACTAACCAATTTCCTTGAAAGTCAGTACAGAGTGCATCCTAGAAAGGGGGGGGCAAGACAGGTTCCACCCACTTGCATGAGTTTCATCAAATACTGAACCTACTAGAGGGTGGAGAGAAAAGGCCACTTTCAAAAAGGAGCATGTTATTGAAGGAGGCATTTACTATACTCCTTCCTAAGAGCAGTGGTGGGTAACGTGTTTTCTAAACTAGATCGAGGAAGTGGAATGTGGAATCACTCCATCCTCCTCACCTAAAGGACTGTCCGAAGGTTA